ATCAAGAAAAGGAAATATTAAGCGCATTTGGTTCAAAAACTAACATAAACTTAAAATTTAAGTCAATTTGTTCAAATAAAGAGGACAAAGATCTCCATAATAAGAAAAATTAAGTCATAGGTAAAGGTTAACAGTGAAGCAAAAATCTTAAAATTTTTATAAAAAAAAACTAGAAAAGCATCCATTAATAAAATTTATACCTAGATAAAAAATCAAATGTCTTCATGTTAAAAAAAATTGCACGAATTTAAAAAAATTGACCAAAATTAAATTGTCAAAAGACAAACGTAACTTCAAAATTTAGACGCAAATTAAAAGTATAATTTAATCTAATTTTATATTTCATGAAAAAGCGAATCAAATTTTTAATACGTTTTATAATACGATAAATGAATAATGTCTTTAAGAAATAAATAAAAAAAAGTGTGAAAGATTCGAATTACAATAGTTAATATAAAAATCTATTTGAAATTAAAAGCATACAAAAAGAAATATATTAAAGAACGAAATGAATGTCTGAAAGGTAAATAAATTACAAGGAGAAAAAGGAATATCTAAATATAATTGAAGAAATTCTTTTTATACGATTTATTATTTTGCTTTTATATATATATATATTAAGCCATGTTTCTTTGAGAAATCAACTGGAGGCAAAAACACAAGTTCTTTTATTTTTTTGTTTTATTTCCCTCGCCGAGAAAATCAAGATTATATCGATGTAATATACCGTACAATGAAAATTACGTGTCGGGAAAAAAGTCTTACGAAAAGAAAAGTGGGGAGAATAGATAGAGAGAGAAAAGTGGAGGGGGGAGGGTTTAAAAAAACAAAAGAGAGATGGTGGAACGTCACCATAGAAAGAAATTAAAGAAGGTGTTGGTGTTCACGCTTTTGCCGCTTGGTAAAAAAGCGCGGTGAGGGAATGAAAAGAGGAAGACGTCGGTAATTGCAAAATTAGCAAAAACAATTTATCGTTTAATCTCGCGTCCCGTGTGCCTCGAGATCTGCAAAGGTCCCTCTTTTGCACCCACGCGCGCGTGGCTTCTCTTGCGGCCTGTACCCGGATAAAATAGCTGTAGTAAAAATCTTATAATTACTTTTTACTTCCGTTCAAGAAAATTTTAATTAAACCTTAGAATTCCCCTTTAACGAGAAAGCGACGCGACTCTCGCTCGTTCGCGTTTTAGAGAGACAAAGAGAGAGAGAGAGAGATAGATAGCCAAGAAAAAGAAATATAAAGAACTTCGGTCAATATTATAGTTTCTGCTCCAAGACTGGTCACTGGCGATTCACAACTTGTACAATATTTAATGAAACAATTACCACTTATACAGAAAACAAACTTTAATCCTATAAAACATTGCATGTTATTGTAAATAAATAAATTAATAAAAATTAGGATAACATTGTCTGATTATAAAACAGTCTTTTGTCCTACACTATAAAGAAATAATTCTCAAATTACATTTTGTATTAATTTAGAACCGATTTTGGGTACTAAACCTTTAATTGTTTTTTATTTTAATACCTAAAATCGGCTTTGATTAAAAAATCTTTTATAATAATTTTACAACTTTTTTTTACAATGAGCTAAATTTGAGAGAATTTGTGAGAGTTTGAATTTTAAGTTAACTTTTTGTTTTTTTAATTAATTAAACTCTCGATTCTTAAAATTGTTAAAAATAACTGATTTAGAGAAGAATTTTAGTAGAAAATCGTAAAAATTAATTGAATTTTAGAAGAATTAGGTATACAGATTGTCGGAAATTATTGGTACGGCTCCACGCGCATGGCCCAAAAACATACCAATCCGAGGGGCAAACAACTATTAGGGGAGCGTGGGGGAATTGGAGCCCCTTAAGGAAAGTTATTAAAAAAACCAACTTATCTTTACAATAATACATTGTTTTCGTCATTTTCTACTCATTTCGTTATTCATCTTTAATTATGTTTAATTAGAAACTTAAAAAGAGAAAGTAAATTGTAAAAAAAAATTTTCAATAAAAAAATACATTTTTTGCGATCACCCAATTTGTAGGGCATTGGGAGATGTTTATGATTATTATAAAGACAAGGAATTATTAAATGTAAAATAAATTAAACTATATTAAACGTAATTATATTAGTTAACAAATTTACTTCTCAATACTTATTTTTTGTATTTTTAAACATAGATATAAGATAATATATCATTTCTTCGAATTATTGATATTAAGCTTCAAATTTCATTGAACACGTGCGTTCGACGAATTGTCCCTCCAAAAGTTCTACACTGGAGGAGAAAGATTTTTGTTTATAATATCCCTTCCTACTAAAAAGATACTCTGAATAAAGGAACCTCTGAGGAGACACTCTTTTGTAAGAAAGACTTCAGTATCACTTGAACCAATGTATATAAATGTATATTTGAAAATTTACATTATTAAAAAGTTTGATTAATTTTTTCTAAATCATTATTAATTGATCATTTAAACCCTTTTTACAAACCATACAAAATAATCTTTCCAACGATTAACCTCGATGGAAAGGTACTAAATAAAAAATTATTAGTACACCTATAATCATGGTCCTTTGAGCCGGATATAATACAAATTTACCAGTTCATCTATGTGAACATAAAATAAACTATGTGATATAAAAACTTATTAATTTACAAGTGTTCACAATTAGTCTGACTGATCATAGTGCATTTAAACACAATTTACAATTATAAGTGCATTTTAAATAAACATACAATTTTTCGTTAACATATTTGATATGTTATAAACAAAGTGCTTCTTTTGAATTACAAATTGTTTTGCATCATTTTCATTTGAAGTGTTCAATCAAATGATTTACGAAATTCACGTAATAAATCTCGTTTGCATTAAAAATACACTATACGTACAACATTTTTCGTATCATATCTACATATAATGAGATACGATTATACAATTTGAGGCAATGCGTTTGAAACACCTCTTATTTTCAAGAACATTTTCTTCAGGAGGCAGTATAATCAAAACAAATCTAGTTCTCCATCAAATCTAGTGAGGCAATACGTTTTGAAAACACCTCTTTCTAATATCATTCATAAAACATTTACGCATTCAATGCGTAAAAAACACCTATATTGATTAACGACAAATTCAACTTACAAGTTTAAGAACAGGACAATACAGGTATGTTAATGAATTGAATCTTTATCTTATAAGTGTCCAATTTTTATCAAATAAAAAATATTTGATTTTTTATCTTAAATAGATAAATTATCTGATAATTTGCGTCTGTTTTATGAGTCAATCCGAATACTATATATCACTAACAAAATGGAAGAATTCGATCGTTTAAGCATACTTTTACAAAAAAGTGCAACATTAAAAGAACACATAACTACATTTCGCGAATTTATTACAAAACTTGATTCAAACAATCCTGCTCAAATCACTGAATTACAATTACGTTATAATACAGTTTATTCATCATTTACTAGTATTGATGATTTATTTGATGAAATTCAATTAATTGATTCAGAAACCAATCACAGTCAAGAAAAAAGAATTATTCAAGATTTATATTATGAAACGTTTTCGATTGCACAAAATAGTTTTGCTTCCTACATACAATCAGCTAATGTTGGTTTAAATTCTACTTATCATAGATCTGCTTCTTTAACTAATGAAAATGTCAATGAATCAATTGCATCCTCGACTCGTCGCAAAATTAAATTACCTCAAGCAACCCTTCCAACATTTAGTGGTAAAATGGAAGAGTGGTTATCATTTAAAGACATATTTGACACAATGATAAACAAACGCGATGATCTTAGCAATATTGAAAAGTTACAATATTTAAAATCGGTTTTAAAAGATGAAGCTTTGCGTAAAATTCAAGTTTTTGCAATAACAGAAGATAATTATGAACGGGCTTGGAAACTTTTACAAAAATCATATGAAGACAAACGAATTTTAATTTCACGTCATTTAAGTTTATTATTGCGTTTGCCTATACAAGAAAAAGAATCTTATACTGGATTAATATCACTCGCGGACGAATCACAACAACACTTACAGTCATTAGCTTCTTTAGGTGTTAATGTCACTCATGAAATCGTCATTGCTATAATTGAAGAAAAATTACATAAACTCACTTTAGAAAAATGGGAAGAGACTATTAAACAAGGGGAGTTTCCTAGTTTAGAAGATCTCACTGAATTTTTATATAGAACAGCTGCTCGTATATCTAAAAGAAAAAACAATGACTCACAAAATGATAACAATAAAGAAGTTTCTTCTGCCAAAAAACGTAAGACAGATTTTAAAAGGCAAGCTTTTGTTACAACCACTACAAAAAAATGTCCACTTTGCTCAGAATCACATTTATTATTTAAATGTGGAAAATTTTTAGCTTTAAAGATTAATGAACGTTTTAAAACAGTTAAAGATTCTAATTTATGTGTCAATTGTTTAAGAAATCACAAAGTTAAGGATTGCAAATTCGGAGCTTGTAAAAAATGTAATAAAAAGCACAACACTTTGTTACATTTTCCAAAGCAAAATGAACAAACTGATAAAACTGAATCAACAGAAATTTGACAATTAAATAAACCTTACACAATTTCTTTAAATTCATTAATATTTACATCATCCTTTCAATTAATGACCAGTGCATTAGTAAATGTTTTTGACTTTAAGAAAAATCAGATTAAAGCTAGAGTTTTATTAGACACTTGTGCGACTGCAAATTTCATAACTAGCAATCTTGTTAATAAATTACAATTACCTCAGACAAAGTGTTCATTTTCAGTAGGTGGTTTAAACAACCTTACAACTACAGTAAATAATTTGGTTTCTGTAACTTTCAAATCTATTTATAATGAACATAAACGTACAATCAACTGTCTTATTGTCCCTAATATTACTGATTTAGTCACAAACCAAACTATATCACGTGAACATCTCAACATTCCTAAAAACATTTTATTAGCGGATCCTAGTTTTCATATACCTAAAGAAATAGATATGCTTATTGGTTCAGGAACCAGCTTATCTTTATTTTCTATTGGATCAATAAATTTATCTGAAAACGGAAATGATTTGTATTTACAAAAAACTAGACTGGGTTGGATAATTGGGGGTGGTTTAGATATTTCTACTAAATCTCGAACATCAGTTGATCCGAAATGCATGTTATCTGATTTAAAAAATTTGATAGAAACTTTTTGGTTTGTCGAAGAAATTTCAAATACATCTTTTCTTTCTGTCGAGGAAGAAGAATGTGAGACACATTTCAAGAAACATGTAACACGTAATGAGATTGGTCAATACATCGTAGCTTTACCTTTTAAAAATAATATAAAATTTACGGGAGAATCAAAACAACATGCATTAAAAAGTCTCACTTCATTACAAAAAAAATTTAGAATTGATAATGAATTTAAATTAAAGTATGAAGCAGTTATGCAAGAGTACCTTGATTTAAAACATATGACACCACTTACATCAAAAATCGATCACGATGGTTTTTATTTACCCCATCATGCAGTTTTCAAAGACACAAGTAACACTACTAAATTCAGAGTAGTTTTTAATCCGTCTGCCGTGACTTCTTCAGGAATTTCACTAAATGAAACTCTAATGGTAGGCCCTACTATACAAGATGATCTATTTTGTTTATTAATTCGATTCAGACTTTACAAATTCGTTCTATTAGGTGATATTGAAAAAATGTACCGACAATTTTTAATTCGTGAAGAAGATCGAAAATATCAAAAAGTTTTGTGGTTAGAAAATGATGAAATAAAAGAATTTCAATTAAACAGAGTTACTTTCGGTTTTGCTCCTGCATCTTTTTTAGCAATCCGATGCGTGCATCAGTTAATTGAAGATGAAGGAACAAATTTTCCATTAGCCTCCAGAATTCTTAAAAAAGATTTATACATTGATAATCTTATCACTGGTACATTTACTGTTCAAGAAGCATTAGAAGTTTATATAACTAACATATTAGATTTGGCTAAATTAAATATGAGACAATGGGCTTCTAATTCTATGGATATATTAGATGGAATAGATAAGAAAAATCTCGATAATGAATTAAATTTAAATAATGATTCCGTTTTAAAAACTCTCGGTATGTATTGGAAAGCTAAAGAAGATGCATTCATTTATCGAGTTAAAATTGATTTAACAACCAATAAAATAACTAAAAGATTTATTCTTTCTGAAATAGCTAAATTATTTGATCCTTTGGGTCTTCTCGGTCCCATTATTTTCTATGCAAAATTAATCATGCAAGAATTGTGGCAATTAAAAGTTACATGGGATGAATCAGTACCCTCTTCAATTCATTACAATTGGACTGAATTTTACAATCAACTTAATTCTCTAAAAAACATTAAGTTCCCAAGACAAATTTTAATCGATGATTTCAAAACGATCGAATTACATGGTTTCTCTGATGCTAGTGAGAAAGGTTATGGAGCTTGTTTATATATACGTAGTGAAAATGATGAAGGGAAATGTCAATGCTCTCTTTTATGTTCCAAGTCTCGTGTCGCTCCTCTAAAAAAACTCACTATACCTAAATTAGAATTATGCGGAGCATTGTTGTTGACAAATTTATATACGAAGGTCATAAAATCTATTCCTATTAATATAAAATCGACAACTTTTTGGACTGATTCTGAAATAGTTTTACATTGGTTACATTCTAATTCTAATTCATTAAAAACATTTGTTGCTAACAGAGTTTCTGAAATACAAAGTAAAACTAAAATAAATCAATGGTATCATATTCGTTCAAAGAATAATCCTGCTGACAAACTATCACGTGGTTTATTACCCGAAAAATTGGTTACTGACAATTTATGGTTCAATGGTCCAGATTGGTTAATTAAAAATAGTGAATATTGGCCTAAATATGAATTTAAGGGAAAATTAAATTCATTACCTGAAATCAAAAAATTAACTTGTCTAAATAATACCATCGACACTCATTTGATTGAAAATTTTTCCTCTTTTTCAAAATTGAAACGAATTATTGCTTTGTGTCTGAGATTTCTTCCTAAACATCGACAATATAAAGGTCCTTTAAAATCACTAGAATTAAAGTATTCTGAAACAGTTATAATCCGCATTGTTCTAAAATCTTGTTTTTCAAAAGAAATTAATACTTTAACTCAAGGTCAATCGTTAAATAAAGAAAGTCGAATTTGCAATTTAGATTCTTTTTTGAACAAAGACAATATTTTATGTGTAGGGGGTCGTTTAAAAAATGAGAGTATTTCTTTTAATGCTCGTCACCTCATAATATTGCCAAAATCAAACTTTTTAACCGATCTTATTATTCAACATTATCATTCAACACATTATCACAGTGGTATACAGACCACTTTGTACACTATACGACAAAAATATTGGCCTATAGATGGTCGAAATCAAATAAGAAAAATCATTCGTAAATGTGTACCTTGTTTTCGCGCAAAACCAAGATTCGCTGATTATATAATGGGAAACTTACCAAGCGCACGTGTAAATAAAACGCGTCCATTTAATTGTGTAGGGATTGATTACTGTGGTCCTTTTTATATAAAGGAACGTAAGTAGAGAAATTTAAAAAAGATAAAAATTTATGTTTCTGTTTTTGTTTGCATGGCAATCAAAGCAATTCATATCGAAGTTGTAAGTGATTTGAGCACGGAAGGTTTTTTACGAGGGGTATTTCACTTCCGAATCATGCAGGTATAATGTTTGAAATCATACGAATAAAGAATTATTTCTGAAATGACAGTAATTAAACAGTGTGCGAATAGTGTCAATAGTGCGAGTTAACGTAATGAATTCTGAAATGACAGTAATTAAGCAGTGTGCAAATAGTATCAATAGTGCGAATTAACGCAAATAGTGTAGTATTAATATTACTGCAGTATTAAATACTGTAGTCTAACGTCCTTGTAGAGCAGGCTGATTCGGAAGTGAAAAACCCCTCGGTTTTTTAGGTGCCTTAAGAAGATTTATTGCACGTCGAGGGAAACCTCAATCTATATATTGTTATAACGGTACAAATTTTCAAGGCGCTAAAAATGAATTAAATGAGTTATTTGTTCTTTTAAATTCAGATAAATCTAAAAATGATGTTTACAATTTTTCAACCAATAATGGTATCGACTTTCAGTTTATCCCACCCTGTTCTCCTCACTTTGGAGGTTTATGGGAAGCTGGGGTAAAATCGTTTAAACATCATTTCAAACGAGTAGCTTCTAATTCATTAATAACATTTGAAGAATTCAATACTCTTTCTATAGAAATAGAGTCAATTTTGAATTCAAGACCATTAACACCTATTTCCATAGACGTAAATGATCTTACAGCATTAACACCTGGACACTTTTTGATTGGCGATTCATTAACAAATTTACCTGAGCCTGATTTTACTCCTCTACCTTCTAATCGTTTATCAGCTTGGCAATTAATTATTAAATTACGTCAAGATTTTTGGAGAAGGTGGAACCTTGAGTATCTAAATGAGTTAACAGTTCGCCAAAAATGGTGCACAGATACTATCAATCCAAAAGAAGGTTTGTTAGTAATATTAAAGGAAGACAATATTCCTTGTATGCAATGGCCGCGAGGGGTTTTCACTTCCGAATCAGCCTGCCCTACAAGGACGTTAGACTACAGTATTCAATACTGCAGTAATATTAATACTACACTATTTGCGTTAACTCGCACTATTGATACTATTTGCACACTGCTTAATTACTGTCATTTCAGAATTCATTACGTTAACTCGCACTATTGACACTATTCGCACACTGTTTAATTACTGTCATTTCAGAAATAATTCTTTATTAGTATGATTTTAAACATTATACCTGCATGATTCGGAAGTGAAATACCCCTCGAATGGCCGTTAGCAAGGATTTATGCAGTACATCCTGGAAATGATAGTGTTGTGCGTAGTGTGACATTAAAATTGTCAAATAAACTTTTAAAAAGGCCTGTTAAAAAAATTGCAATTTTGCCTATAAACTATAATAATGTTGAGTAAATGTTGCTCGTCAACTCCCAACGGGGGGAGTATGTTTATGATTATTATAAAGACAAGGAATTATTAAATGTAAAAGAAATTAAACTATATTAAACGTAATTATATTAGTTAACAAATTTACTTCTCAGTACTTATTTTTTGTATTTTTAAACATAGATATAAGATAATATATCATTTCTTCGAATTATTGATATTAAGCTTCAAATTTCATTGAACACGTGCGTTTGACGAATTGTCCCTCCAAAAGTTCTACACTGGAGGAGAAAGATTTTTGTTTATAATATCCCTTCCTACTAAAAAGATACTCTGAATAAAGGAACCTCTGAGGAGTCATTCTTGTAAGAAAGACTTCAGTATCACTTGAACCAATGTATATAAATGTATATTTGAAAATTTACATTATTAAAAAGTTTGATTAATTTTTTCTAAATCATTATTAATTGATCATTTAAACCCTTTTTACAAACCATACGAAATAATCTTTCCAACGATTAATCTCGATGGAAAGGTACTAAATAAAAAATTATTAGTACACCTATAATCAGGAGCTTTCACTTGAAATTTAAAAAATTTCTATTTTTTAGAAATATTTTTTGTTTTCTAATAGAAAAAAGTGTTAATACTTACAATGAAGCCAAAACTTTAGACTTAGCATACATTTTTTCCTAAATTATAATTGAATACAAAATTTTTGAAAAAAAATTTAATTTTTCATTTTTTCCACAAAAAATTATTTTTTAATTAAAAGTTTGTTCATAAGGTGATATCTTTTACAATTTTCAAAGAAATAACGAAAGCCGTAACATAGAAACAAAAATTCTTTGGGCTAACACTATTTCTCCCATTGCCCCACAGAATTCTTACAGCCCAAAATTTGAATTAAAAATAAAAACATAAACAAATTTTATTATTATCTCGATTTTTATACAAGTATGTATGTACATATCTACACATATTCACCTAATAATATAATGGAAAAACAGAACTAAATAATACGATTTTAATTACTTTGGTGATGTTTAGAAATATTTTGCATTTTACAACAAAAACTCAAAAAATACATTTTCCCTTGTTTTTACTAAAAATTTGTCAAGAATGTAATCGTTTGTTTTGGAATGATATAAACAAAGGTTGTAGAAGATTTTCTAAACATTGCAGCGAATTTGAAGGCTTTTAAGTACGTGAAATTTAAAAGCTCCCATTACCCCACGCTCTCCTACTAAAGAATAGGGTGTACACCTACTATAATAATAATTCAGTAATTCACGGTAATTCGTGGTAATTCACAATAGCAATTCAATACAAGTGTACATCATAATTCATGAGTTATTCACCCCTTGTACCAATCTTTAAATCTTTTTAAAAAATTGCAGACAAAATTTAAAACTTAAATAGATGTCATAATTCAAGTCTTATCTTTAATTTAGAAGTCCAAAAAAGTTAAAAAATTTTATTCGGTTCGCGAGATATCATTATAAACGTCCGAGCATTTTAAGTCAAAAATCGTACAAAATTGACTATTTCAATGCTTGTTCAAAAACATGCTCAACATTTATAATTCTCTTTTTATTTAAAACAAAAAACACTAAAATCGATTAAAAATTGTAGTCTGTAGACATTTTTGAGAAGTAAATTGTAAAAGAATCGCACTGTGAGGCGTTACGCATCGGCCCACTTCGGGACTTTTTGGAAAATCTTGTGTATATAATAAAGTATAAATAAATTTAAAAAAATAAAAAAAATTGAGTCCAAAGTTAAAAAAAATTAATTTGTTCAAAAAAAAATTTTTTTTTTACATTTCTTAAAAGAAAGAAAACTTAAACTTTCTTTCTTTAAAAAGCTTTTTCTATACTAAACATTTTCAGACTTATAAGCTACTAAAAATATGTCTACAGTTACAAATCCAAAATTTCGAAAATTCATAACTCGAAAATTTGAGCGATTAAACAAAAATAAAAAAAAAAGTATTTCATATTTTTCTATAAAGATTAAGAAAAAAATAGGTTTAACCAAATTTTAAAGGTCATAGGTAAATCTTACGTGGAATTGTCCATTTGTTAATTTTCTGACATTTGTTGTTACAGAAAAATCGTGATTTAAAGATTGATATGTTTTTGGGAAATGCGCGTGGAGCCGTACCTACCAATAATTTCCGACGGTAGTGTAGTTGTACTTTTAAAAAATAATTAAATTTATATTATTGAAATAACATGTCAAGGATCAAAAATGAACTCAAACAATATCTCAAAATTAACCATTTCAATGAACAAACATAATAAGAAAAACTTCTGTCAGACTTCGAAGTATAGACTCACGAGAATTAGGTCAATAGAAAATCATAACCTTAAAATTTAGGTTAAAGGAACAAAATAGTAACAATATTAATAACCAGGAAAAGAACAACGAAAATAAATTTGAAATTAAATTGTTTATAAAAGTCTAATTTAAGTTTATGAAGTCAAACTAATAAATGTGAATGCAACAGATGAGGAAAAATGGTAGATATTAATTTTTGATTTTCAACAAGCAGAGAACTGATTTGTTGATTGTTATGACGACATATGTTTATCTGTCGTACAAAGACATTTGCTTCATATGTAGATATATATAAAATACATTCACCGGTAATTTTCTTAAAAATTTCGTAATGTGTCCGCAGAAAAAAACTGAACTCAAAATGAGTCGGAAAAGTGACTCATTATGAGCTGCAACAAAAATGAGTAGGGCAGATGGCGCCACGTTCTATGTCATTTAACATGGACTCATTTTGAGTTGCAACAAAAATGAGTCCAAGTTTTTTCTGTGTCGCGGTCTTCACAATTTATGTGTTGGTCACAA